AATGTGTTACGCGCTATTTGATCCTTTACTTCCAATGCCAAGGGCACTTGGTCATAATTAAGAGTCTGGATCCTCGGCACCATACCAATTTGTGTTGTTTGGCAGTGATCTATCACAGGCTGTTTCACCTGTGGATGTCTTCCAGATCTCCTTTGCAGACCTTGTGGCCATTGGTTGCTTGCCTTTATCCATGTTGCACAATATTCATAGCCATGGCATCTTCTTGCATCCTTTTCCCTTGTTACAAAGCTGTGGACTGTTCTTTGGTCTGATTGCTTAGTCCGTCTCATCCTGTGGCTTTTTATTAAAGGCAGCTTCACATGGACTTCAGCTATTGTTTTGAGAGATAAAAATATGATGGCATTACCTGAACAAAACAGCTTCAAACAAGTTATCATTATTTCCCTTGTCATTGGTTGTATTGCCATTCGTGAACCAGGTTGGATGGAACATGGCTCATCTTGCTACAAGTTTACAGATCAAGAGATGTCTTGGGACGATGGAAGCTCCTACTGCCAAGAGCTTGATGGGATGCTGTTGGTTGTTGAGACAGAGGAAGAGAATGACTTCATTGCACAAGAAATGAAAAATCTCAACCTGAAATTGGCCTGGCTTGGTTGCAATGATAGAGACACGGAAGGTGTGTGGGTGTGTTATCCTGAAGATGTCAAGAGAATGCAGTATGAGAACTGGGGGAAAGGACGACCCAGTAATTATAAAAACCAGGACTGTGCAACAATTGACATCCACACTCATGATGGCCAGTGGAACGATAGATGGTGCAGCAGCAGTAGGTACACTGTATGCGAGACAACCAGCAGCAGAGTCCCTGCCATGTCCTGCTTCAGTCTGGGTCCTGATGGACGCCTTCACTTCTAACTCTCACCCAAGCCCTTAGTAAGCAACAATCCTCTCTTTAAAGGACTGCAATTAAATGGTCAGGTGGAAGGAAGACTGTCGATGTACCTGTTTCTTGCATGGACTGTACTTGCTCTTTTGCAATGTTGATCCTGTGATGCAATTTGACTGGAAGGTTGGATAATGCAGTTGGAATACGCAGACAGCATCCAACTCTTTGTATTGGATTGGTGATTCTCTGCCATGAACAGTGAAATTGCCTTGAAATTGTCAGCTTGACGAGATGCTTATTTATGCACTCTTTGTTGATCTCAAACTTGACTAACAAGACACCATTCCGTGATAGTGTTTTTAGCACAACGTGTGCCGCCGCGTTCCTTTGCCTTGGTGGTGTGTAAGTCGTGGATGTCATGATTACCAGAAAGTCTTCATTCAACTACCACAAGGAATATGTTGGTGTCAAAACGGGAAGCAAAAAAGATGTCGCTGTGTGTGTTTCTGCATGAAAAACCCAGCATCAGCGATAAGGCAGGAATACAACGTCTGCCTTCATCGAACATGTGCACGCTGCCATCACCCTGTGAAGTACATACATGTACAGTTACGTGTACAAGGCTACTTCTAGGAATGATCTTTCAGTCCTCATGTTTGTTTAAATTTTTGAAGAATCTAAATTTAAGGCTTAAATGTTCAAACAATCAAAAACGTTTTGTTTTAGGGAGCACAGGAATTATGTGTTTTAACTTGTTTCAATAACAACAGGGCTTACACTAAGAAAGGAAATTGTTAGAATTGTACGTGCATTTAAACACATGTAACAATCAGCATGGGCAAACACGCAGACGTGTGCTTGTTTTTAGGGTAAAAATAGCTCAACGCGTTGAGTAAGAACAGCACATTACACAGGGTTTGGTATGAGCCATGTAATATGGTTATATATTACACTGTTTGTTGCCATGGATCAACCAATCAGAACTGAGAATTCAAGTATGCCTGGAGATAAAGATGTTAACAACCACACAACAAAGCAGAAATGCTTTAGATCCAACATTCGAAATGATATCATTTGGTTTGAATGTATTGGTAGCATAATGTTGACAAGTTGTGTGCATAGTAGGGATGTTGTGGTTTTTAGCACTAAAATGAGGCTGTAAATTTACTCTCTTGTAAAAATTGTTGCTAAAATCACGGACGGCATCATTTGTACATGGAAAAGGTGTGAAAAGCACCAATGGTGGGGAACTGAATTTGGCGTAGACCCTTAAAAATAATCTAGTGTATTCTTAATTATTACACTTGTCATAACAACAAAAAAAGACTTGTAGTGGTTTAGTTAATTCACTAATCAATTTAACTCGCATGCATGGATGTGAAATTAGCTGTATGTACATGTATGTGGTGTTGTGAAAAAAAAGGGGTTTTTTTTCTCAACACCTGCTAAAGCCAACCATTTGAAAGTGTTAATATCCCATGGAAAGACTAAATTGTGCTTTAAAATGTATTTTTGACAGCCAAACCATTTTTTTCTGTTTACGATCTGAAATATGGCAGATAAATCATTTTTTTCCTGCTTACGTTCTGAAATAACATGGCAGGCAAAATCCACTGTCAGAATTGTTTGGCATGACAGGGATAAGATTTTAGAAATAATTATTTTCGAAATTTTTTACAATGGGAAAGTTGACTTGGTAAGACACGTTTGTCTTCAGAAGACATGTATCGATGTGCTTATGTCTAATATTCAACAGTCACAAAGCTGTTTTGCCATCTTGAGCTATGTACAATCTTTATAGTTTGTTTTAAAATACATGTATTTAAAGGTCTATGGACATATGAAAGACACATCTGTGTCAATTATATTCAAGTTGCAGGGTTGGTTGGTTGGTCTCGTATGTGAGCCTGAAGGAAACCTTAATTTGTATGCATGATGTTTTTGAAGTTTATTGAATGTAATCTGAAACTTTTCAGTGCAGTACTGATACTTTGATTGTGGAGCAAATTAGATTGCACCACTACAAATCATCAGAAAACTTTGTAAAAATTGATGTTGAAGTTTGTCCTCACAGATCATTCACTCAGAAAGGTCATTTATTACAACATTTGCTTTGGACATATGCTGAATTCCAGCCTGTGAACTAACAGTTGCCAAGGGTGGATCCAGACTCAAATAGGGGGGGGGCAAAAAGGGCAGGTCCTTAGCCAAATTTAAGACAAAGAAGCAAACAGGTCTTTTTTCTGCTCTTTTTTCCCATTCAATCTGCTCTAAGCTATAAAGCTACATGTATTAAGGCAAGACTTGAAACAGTGAACAGAAATAATAACGTGTAGATGGAGGACTGAGTATTTCATGATTGATACCAAGAATAGAGAGTGAAACACAGAAACTGTAAATTGTACAGCTCAAAGCATTGGACGATGCAGCCTGCTGCATTTTGCATGAAGTGTTCATGGCAAACTCCATCTGTGGCCAAGCATTGGACGATGCAGCCTGCGGCATGTTGCATGAAGTGTTCATGGCAAACTCCATCTGTGGCCAAGCATTGGACGATGCAGCCTGCTGCATGTTGCATGAAGTGTTCATGGCAAACTCCATCTGTGGCCAAGCATTGGACAATGCAGCCTGCGGCATGTTGCATGAAGTGTTCCAGCCATGAGTCAAGGAATTGTTTTTGTTTCACTATTTGACTTCCAGTGAGACCACCCAAAATGTGAAACATAAAGAAAACAATTATCAATTGAACAAAATGAGAGGATTAAACATTATTTGGACACCATTGAACTATGTGTTGGATACTGACAATGATGTCTGAGCCATCCTTCCAGTGTGTATTCCAAACTAGAAATGAGTATTTGGGCCACCTTCACATAACATAGTGGAGACGTAGCAAAGCTTACTTTGTGTGTTTAAGTTTGTCGAGCGTCAAAAGCCTACTGAACAAGTAAGCTGCGTCCCCGGTGCACGTTTGCATTAACTGATCGTATCAGTCACAATCAAGCTGCTGCTCGGAAACAATATCCTAAACAAAATGGCTCTGTCCATACAAAACAACCTCCATTTAGGACACTTAATATCTTCACTCTGACTGATCCAAAAAAAAAATTCCTCATTGTTTTTTGTGGGGGGGGGCATGGTCCCGTTGCCTCCCACCCCTATCTGCCCTTGACTGTTGCCATGTCTGTGGTTAAGTGATTGAGACATCTGCACAAGAACAAGGCTTGATCCTGGGTTCTCAAACCCATCTCATACTCAACAAGCTTGTGAATTTTCCGTGTTAACATCTACCAGTTGGTAATTGTGAAAAAGGGACAAATCCAATCGAAATAACATCTTCCAACTCTTGGAAAATTATTTTTAATTCAAAACCTTCTACAGTAGTAGCAAGGAAACACTGTTGTAAAATTATCAACAAGATAACAATAGAACATTTTGAACACAAAGTTGTGTGGTGGTTGATTCATAGATACGATAAAAACTAACACAATTAAGTTGTTGGAAAAAAATAAATGTAAAGAAAATGCATATTTTCAGCCAGGTTTGGAAATCTCATTAACTGGAGACTGTTGTTAAGTTTGCTGCTTATAGTTATTCAGTGCATTATACTGGTACATACATGTTTATGTTAGAATGAATAAAATAAATCACTAATAAAATAGAATAAATAAATAAATGACAAGTAAATTGTTTTCAGTTTGTGGCAGCATTGTAATTATAATACTTAACACAACAGATAAATTTCACACATTTGGTTACAGACTTAAATCATGATCTGAAATGTTTGGTAGACAAAATTGAGGTTGGCAGATTCCTTCCTGATGAATGTGATTGAGGACATAGCAAAGATGCCTAGTCGCAACAGTGGTTGAATTTAAGACATGGAGTCAGTCCTCAGCCACCACTTCTTGTCATTTTCTCTCTTTGGTGACCTCTGACCTAAGGTCACATGGATGTAAATAGTCTGGATTGGTGCACACCTGCATGTTCATGTAGGGGCCTAACTGACATCTGCTTGCACAACCATACACACGCCAGGTTGGAAAACATTCTACAAGTCCATAGCCAGTGAGGGGATGTTTTTAGTCAGTACAGATTAAAATGAGTCAAGAAGAAAATTACATTTTATGGTTTTTATAAATTCTCTCAGGGTGACTCTGACAGCTCAGATGACCCAGTATTCCATCTCCCTCCTGCCACACTACGCCTTAACAAAGTCACAGGGGTCACACAAGAGGTCGTTGACATGTTCCAGACCGCAGTTGATTGTTGGCAGCTTCTCTCCTCCAATGAAACATTTGAAAAGGGTAAGAAAATAAGACAGTAATAGTGACCTCTGGTTCATAGCCCTTAATGTTTAGCCTGTGTCAGAAAATTTTGTCTGCAGCTGGCGTCAACAAAACATTTTAGGAGCCCCTATCGTTACTGAATACCGAAGCGTGGCGTCATTGTAGACCAAATAAATGGAGTGTGCGCAGTTTGGTTCATGCACCGGTTCTGGTACTATTGCCTTTAAAATACATAATTGTGTGCTTGATGTATTCATGTCGGCACTCTATAACCAGTGGCCTCCAGGGAATTTAGCTTGCAGAATTTAGAGCCCTAGCTTTTTTTGATGTAACATGAATTAAAATATTTCCAATTATGACACAGCATTTGACATGGGTGGGCTCTGCTTTTTTCCCAGTATCCTACATCTTCGTTTATTGTATATGAATTAATATGATAATAACATTGTGTATCTTGTTACTCTGAATTTAAGTGTATGTTCATCGTTCACCTACCTGCAATGCTAATCAAGATGTGAAATAAACCAAACCAAACCAAACCAAAACCAAGCATCAGACAGCTTTTTAAAACAATGTTCTTAAAAAAGTATCTGTATTTAATGAACACAAAACAGCCTAAGCCTCACTGATGATATGCATATTTTATACATATTCATTATTGCAAGCTAAATTCTCATTGGTTCATTCACCACCAACCACAAGTTAACCAAATCTTAATTTTTTATTCAAATCTAAAATCCAGTGTTTTCTGTGATTTTGCAGATTTCAACTGGTTACTACACAGATGGAAGGCAGACACATGGCCATGGTTTACAGCATTCCAGATTGATCGCTTTTTATTTAAGGTCCCATTCATTTATACAATTTGGGAATAACTAGAGTATCTGGTTTTCAGTAGATGTTACAGATTTGGATTGGATTTTGTTTACAAAGATTAAATACTTTCATTAGCACCTTTCTTATTAGTTGTTTGTCTCTACAGTGGTCATTAATGGCCATTTTTCATTTGGTTATCTTTGAACTGTCATTCTTACCAAACTGTATGGTTATTTCTGTACTCATCAATTAAATTTGAATTACAGGCCGAATTTGACCAAGCCTTGAGAATGCTGCAAGAGCAATATAAGAAACTCTCCACAGCACAGCAGACCGCGGGGAACCAGGTAAGACATTATGGTGGATTCTGTTGTATACCCTGGTATTATTGAGTAACACATGAGAACCAGTTCTTAGGCTCAGGCATGCTGAAGTTGTCATTCTTTTTACGTTCTCGATGACAGCTTGAAACCTGCTTGTCATGTTGCTAGAGACCACAGCAAGTGTCATGATGTGAGCAGCATGGATGATGTTGCATACCTGGGAAAGGGCACTTGAAGACATTCACAGAAAATGGGGCCTATTTATTTCAAATCAAATCAAATACAAAGAAAAAATGAGAATTACTTCTAAACACTTTTTGTTGGAAGGAAGAAAACGTCCGGAGGCTGAACTTGATTTGTTAAATCTAATTCATTGGAGTATTGGCATACAGATACTTACAAAATTTCACCTATTTTACACAGCAGGTGCTGAAGACTCTTCTTCAGACAGCAGCTTGCTACTTCAGACAAAGCCAGCATTCGGTGAGCCCATAAGTTGCAAATTATCATGTGTTATTTGTATAGTTTAATATCCTCCTTTGTGAAATATGTGTCCCTCATTCAAATTCACCCAGACATGATTTCACAGCAGTTTTCTGTGGTACTTTTACATCAGTGATGTGGATAGCAGTGTTGTAGTCAAGTACTATTCAAGTATCAAGTTCTCTGCCAAATATTTAACGAGCTAGGAGGGAACTAAGCTGAAGTAAATGAGCATTTGATGGTACACGCAGAAAGGTAAGATTACAAAGTAACATGATGACTTCAGACTATCACTGTTTAATAAAACTTAGGACAAAAGTACTTGAATCAAGTACTTTGCTCCTCAAAACTTAAATTTTACAAAACTGTGAGTGTCTGAAGTCTTACATTTAGTATGTAATCTTACAATTGTGCATTTACCATCAAATGCCTGTGTACTCCAGCTTTATTCCCTCTTATCCGGTTCAATATGTAGCTGAGAACCTTGGTACTCAAAAGTACTGGACTACAGCACTGATGGACAGTGATTAAAGGGACAGAAACGTGGAGCTAATTCTGTATGTACTTAGCGCTGAAGCAGCGAAATGTTTAGGCCCAGTGAAGTGAAAAAGCCCCAGGTCATGTGAGTAGATCACAAAGTCCACTCAACTCCTTTCGTTCAATATGACACATAGGTATCACAACTTGTATCTGTAAACAGAACAGAAACCAACATGCAAAAATTGAATGATTGACCTGGAAATCAAATACATGTAGCATTGATGTAAATTAGATATAAAGACAAGAGGCAGGTGATGCAGAAGATGGAATCTTGTTCCGTATTTTTGGTATAAACAGAAAGTATGATAGCAGGCATTTTTTAAATTCTCTTTTTTTCCCAGAGTGCCTGTGAAATGACACTGAATGCTGTCAGGCACTTACCAACAATGGCTAAAGACACTCCCCATGCTGCTCAAAGTGTGGCAACAACAGAAAAGATGTACAATAAGAACCTTAGGCAGCTCCCGCTGGTACCCTGCACTTCATTGGCTCTCCTGCCTTACTTTGTGCAGCTGTTGTTACTTAGCTACAAGGTATTAAGAAAAGACTCTTCAAGTTATTCTGTTACAATGTAATATTCCAATGTAAAGGAAGCATAAATTTGTGTTCCAAATAGACTTTTTTGTAGATTTCTGGATAAGATGGGAATTTTGTTTTTTTCAAAAGTAAAATTCACTTGTTGAAAGAGAATGGACTTTGAAATCTCACTACTGAGTCTGTGGCTGCATCCGAATCTCTTGTCTAGAGCTAGACTCCTTCACTCCTTTGTAAATTCGTGGAGACGCGTCGACAATAGACCTAGCCGTAGCTCTGGAGGCCCATTTCGGACACAGCCCGTGAAGCAGTTTTATGACTGAGAAACAATTTAAAACAAGTTTTATCATATGTCATGTATCTGCTGTATGCGATATTATCATGCTCAGTGAAGTTGGACTCCACTTCATGCTCGTAAAATAAATTGTTATAAATATTGCATTTGATGATCCTGGTTCAATCATGTTGTCAGCCATCAACTTTTTAAAGCCAGAGAAAAATAATTTTGTGGCTCTTTGAATTCACAGAAGAAAGTTTTCCACCTGAGAGACACAGAGGACACAGCCTTGGGTCACATGCTGGTTTTAATGCAATATGATTGGCCGAAGGAAGAGGTATTATTCCAAGAATTGATCAAGAAATTGAAAAGGCAAGGAAGTTTCTCCTATCCCATATTCTTCCAGTATATCATCAGTATCCTTGAAAATACCTTGCATCATTAGCATAAAAATGAAAATGGTGTCATAGTGTTAAATTTCAGTTGTTCTGATTTCATAAACTGTGGAATTAAATTTCCTTGATTCCTCATACAACTCAGGAACACAGAAAATGATATTCATTGACCAGATAAGCTTGAGTATCCTTCAAGTTTTTCTCTGTTTGTGTTCCCCAAGGCCATGATTACTTGCCTTTCCTGTTTTACTTGTTTTATTTGCAACCTCAGTTTAAAATAAAACATTTCAAAGCCCGATAATCTTTAACGTGTTTGCCCCAAGACATTGATATGCTGGAGGAGTTTGCATTTTTAAAGACGGAGACAGGAGGCAAGTTGCAGTTAGATCTTCTTCCTCCTAACCCATCTGTCATGAGGTGAGTATTTGATCTGCTTCTTCAAAAGACCTGTGAAGTGGAAGATTTGTGAGAGCAGCAGCCAAGTCTTGTGTACATGAGTTGTAAGCTAGTCTTCAAAATCATCCAGTCCAAGTCAAGTCAAGCTATCCAGGAAATTGTGGCAAATACATTTTTTTTTAGATTGAAGTCATCCCGGTCAAAGCCAGAAGGTGTGACCCTGTAACCTGCTTTTCAATTTGGCACCTAATTGGCTAGTTGACACGTCTGCTGAGTCACTTTGGATGCGGTCTGTTAAGTGTTTAGGGGCTGAGAATTGGCTATGTTCTACTACCCAACTTAGTGCTTCGGTAAATTGGAAGGGGTTGAAGGTTTTGGGGGTTCTGACACAAATACACGGAACTGTCATTATTTTAACACAAAACAAAGCACTGATCGAATGGTGCCTCCCAGCATAATGCAGTAACACAAGTGTAAAGGCAGATGTGCATGTGCTTTCCTTTCGACTTGCGTTACTATCTTTTTTATGCCCTGGCGGCTAGGACGAAGGGGGGTATATGAGGCTTACATGTACCTTGTCCTTTCCATGTGTATGCACAAGTGTGGCTTACACAGTGTAAACCTCCCTGCAAAAGATGTCAACATAATTTAGGGTGAGATGATAATTTAGGATGAGATGTGGACTTGTACATGTCTACACAGTCTATTCTCCTCACTGAAAAAAAACAATTCAGAGGCATTTGGGGGCAAAAATAAGAGGAATAGTTCAGGAATTCATTAAACTCCAGCTTGCAGGAATTATCATTATTTTGCCCAAGTTTTTTTAACCACAGGAGCACAAAGGAATGTCCACACTGTGTATATGAACAAGCATGTGTGTCAGCATATTCCGTCCATCAGTATGTCTGCTAGTTTTCCCACCTTAGCTTAAGATGGACTTGATATATCAACTTCAAACCTGGTACATTTATGTACGTTGGTTGGTCTTGGTGGCCTTCGGAAGCCAATCAGTTTTGGACCCTTAAGATCAAAGGTCAAGGCCATTTAATAATGGTTGAAACAATAGAGATGGTTTTCCTACAATAATTCAAGAAGAGCTTGGCATCTCATCTGCAAACTTGATATGTGGGTTTGTCTTGATGTTTCTGGACGCCTATCAATTTTGGACTTTTGGTCAAGGTCACCACAAACAATAGAAATGGTTTTCACAGTTCAGGTGGTTTTTGTGATTCCAAATTAGAGTCACTGTTTAGGCATGGTTTAGCGGGGCATTTATGTTTATCAACTCACCATTTTTATTTGTTTCTTGACATTGCTTGAATAGGCAGAGGACTGTCACTAGAAATATAACAAAAGGCGGGAAGGAAGACTTTCGCATTGCCATGGAGAAGCAGGTAGTACGGTGTGGAGAAAACCTGGATGCATTGATGAGGACCTTTCTGACCAATGAGCGAGACTCTTTACAGCGGCTGCTCATGTGAAGTGTGAAAAACCATGAAAAGGTCTAAGAGTGGATCTAAACTGACACAAGACTTGGAGCTGCCAAGAAAAAAGCAAGACATATTGCCGTCTGATGAGATTGATTTGAAGTATCGACAGTACCTGGACTGGAAACCACTAAACGTATTGCTGGTTGGATTTGTTGAGATTGAAGCATTTAAGTTAGCACAATGAAAAATCTCATATTTAGTTTGGGACTTTTTTGCAATAGCCAAAGGTGTATGTGAAATGGTATTGCAAATGGAGGACAAACAGTACAACAATTTTAATGCTTCAGTTATAGATGTACGGTCAAGGAACGTAAGCCTGTGTAACCGGGGAAAATGGCACACTACGAAGGAGGGACGTGCAACACAATAAAAAACTCTAGCTAAACCTCGGAGCTTTGAGGGAAAGATCGCAAGAAATCGCATTAACCACTACCTTCCCGGTGGATTTCTCTTGAGCGGGATGAGATGACGAGATCTTTTCAAGATTTTCCGTTTTCAAAATTCTTCAAAAATTCATGTGTTCATTTACTTGATGTTTACACCCACATGAACGACTGTCTGGTGGCTGCTCTAATCTGACAGGTAACCTTCATTGATGCCGGAGTATTCAGACCAGGCCTGCAGCCCTGTAAAAGAGAGCCTAGAATTGTGAGGTGTTGCATGATTTTCTTTGTTCCGGTGAATGCCAGTAGCATCTTTTCATACACAGCTGGATTAGCGAGCAGCAGCGCTGTGTCGCTCATCAAGTACTGAAAAAAGATGGGAAAAAACCAAAAGGACTAAAAGACTGAAAAGACATACACCAAAAGACTAAAACCTTTAAAAGGACTTTAAAAAAAACCCAAAATGGACCTTATGAGTTGACATGCAGACATCAATCTGTAAAAACAAGAGAAGTTAAGAACAGTGTATTCATTTTGAGTGGGTAACTCCAAGAATTATTCTCATGTTTCTAACTTACTTGACTTCCTCAATCATACTACAGTGAATGTGTAGATAGAGAGTCCTGAAGTGTGATGTCATTTGAGCCAGGAAATGTAGAACAAACAAATGGAGTATGCATATGTATTGGTTCACACACTGGTTCTCGCATTGATGCCTTTTACACACTTAATTGTACCTGCAACATTCTTTTCGGTACTCCATAGAGGTTGTGCATGGCAGCCTTTTTCCTGATAAGAGCTTTTGTTTCGCAGGGATACGCAAGTAGACCTGTGCTCTCCCTGCGTAACAAAAGCAGTTACCGGAAAGATGGCTGCTATGCACCAACTCTATACAGACTATGTTTTCCTACCTGAAGGTTTCTTCAACTGTGAAATAAAAAATAATTACTTAATTGACGTATATCAATTAGAAAAGTACGTACAGCCAGCAATGCTGATTATTTTGAAGAAAGCTAATAATAAGATATGTTTTAGAATACAGGGGTGAATTGTTTTACTATTTCGTAATTGAAATAAATGATGATGTAACTGTCGAATTTGAAGCATTGCTATTTTTTTATCTTGTTGGTTTGGAGATATTGGTTCTGTTTGCCTTCTAATAAAGGGAGTCAGAAACTGACTTGGAGCATTTTTAAAACGAGTGGATGCAGCTTCGATTTTGGTTTCACTGATCCAGTCAGATCTTGAGCCTGTGGTTTCAAACACGGCTTCAAAATGGCTGGAACCAGCAAAACCAATGTCTAAGCCGAATCCACTCGTTCGAAATCGTTCTTAGTCATGGATCATTTCTGTAAAACCAAGCATTTGAAGGAATATTATTTACACCCACATACTGATGATGTTTGTCGAGTCTGCTGAAAAATGTTTGCGAAAAATGACTGTTAGACCACAACCAGGGGTATGGTAATGACAAAAAAAGAGAAGAAAGGAGGAAAAGGGTAAACATGGCCAATCTGGGTGAAAATGCCTTGGAACTAACCCCCAACCAACGTTGATGGATTATCTGTTTGCTGATAATTAATACCGTACTTTGCTTGTCTTCAGCTTGTGAATTTCTTTCCATCATTTATGCAAGAAAGCAAGTAAACTAGTACTGCCTGTCCAAGCATTGGATCCAAGCTGTGGAGTTCTACACAGTCTATGCCACTCATCAGACTGGAACATAACCGATCTAGAGGGGGTCGTTAAAGGGTCCACTGCACCCTTGCTTTCCCTCCAGGTAGACAAGGGGCAGAGCTTTGGGTTTGGGGAATGACCCATCCTTGGGAGAGACTCCATCAGCTGCTGGTCATGATCCTTGACAAGTATGGATGGGACGCAAAGTTTGTGCTGAATGAAGGCAGGTTAGTGGGGAAAGTGGTGATTGCTACTGAAAATGAAAGCATCTTAAAGTGAAAATCTGAGAAATTCTTGAGGAAAACAGCCTCTACGAGGGCACACTTTTCCAGGCTACTGATTTGCTTCTTACATTTTGCCCTACAATGTATTGTTCACAGTAACATAATGTAACCAGAGCGAGAATTATGATTAATTGGTTGGTCATTCCTGATGCTATGGTGATGCAATCTGCAACTGCATACCCATGCCACACCCACCAGACTACATCCCAGTGCAAACCAAATCAACTGATAAGCTGGTGCAGTGAGAAGAGGCTAAGGAAGGAATGACAATGATCATTCCCTACCAGAGCCTTTTATACAATAGTCTAGTTTTCAGTGCATGCACCTGAATACAAGAATGCAATACGTGCCAAGAAGGAACTGTACCTCATTCATAATGAATAAAAAAAACGTTTCAGGTCTCCCATCCTGAATACATGTAACCCTGATCATGGAACAATAAAACCCTCAGGGTACCCAACCTATGCTATCCAGATTAGCCAACAACCCATTCATTCCAAACCATCTAAATCAATCTGTTCCACTAAGATTTACTGACTGTCTCCTGTTCAGCATTCTACCAAGTGAGACTACTACATTTACCGTAGCTTAGTTTGTCTTATTTATTTTCATGGTATTTTCAATACTCGGATTTGATGCTTTGGAGTTCCATGCTGTTTGACTTTAAACCTCTTTTGGTGTAGTAATGTATTGGTGAGAATCCCAAAGTGTGTGGACCAGCATACTGGTGCTGCATAGAGAAAGGGCTTTGGTGTACGATAACACCATCCAACTCTAATGCAGGTAGCAATGCAAA